ACACGTCGCTCTGTAGTGGGAAACCGCATATTCATATCGCCACCACCTGCAGCCAAAAAGCCGCCAGTATTGACGGCGTAGTTTCCTAATTGGCTACCAATTTCTGTCACAGCGCGTCGATGCGCACGCCCCTGCACTTTTTTGATCACCAAACCTGCTAATCTTTCACCTCCAAGATATCGAACTTCGATAAACACTGAGTGAAAACGGTTAATGGAACTCTTGAGCCATTTCACCACTGGAACACGAGTTGCGACGACAACTTCCACGTTTTCTTCACCATCTTCGATCCTTCTCTTGAATTCTGCAATCGCTTTTTCCAGTTGTGATGCAGTCACTTTTCCTTGCATTGACTGGTAGCCTCGCTGGACTGCAGCCATTTGGTGCTGCGTAAAACGAGAACAAGACGATGAGCACCTGAGAACTTTGCTTTTGTGCTCATCGCCTTGTCGCCGTTTCCTTTCCCACTTCTCGGGGATGAGTTGATTGATGGATGAGTGTATCGTCCACCCCTGCTAGCCGTAAAGTGGGCTTGAGAGTACCCCTAGACATCCTTAGAAACAGCGATGATGTATATATTTAGAGTAAGCGATGATACACATGTCTTAGAGACAGCGATGGTGTACTATGTAGTGATGTACACCATCGCTGTAAGTGATGTACTATATTGTGATAGTACATCACTATATAGTACACCATCGCTGTACATCACTACAATACATCACATGGTACAACATGGTACAACATATACTATATGATGTTGTACCATGTCGTCATATATACGGAGATATCGTACATCACGACATTGTACAACATCATATAGTATATATATAGTACCATGGTACCATGGTCGCAGACACCCTCAGAGATATCGTACATCACGACATCGTACTATGTCACGACATGATGTACAACATCGGATGTACAACATCGTACATGGTACAACATGGATCACGACATGGTACAACATGGTACCATGTCGTGATCCATGTCGTGATGTACGACATCTCTGAGGGTGTCTGCGACCATGTAGTACATA